GTGAACGTTCATGTTAATGGTGAAATACTGCACGCATTTTCACCTGAAGTCAAGAACAATATAGATGTCCTCTCTCACCTTTGCTACTTGATATTGTGGTGAAGGTTTTGTCCAGTCTAATAAGGCAAAACCAAAACAAAATAAAAATCAAAAAATCATAAATAGTGGAAAAAATAAGTAAAAATCTCTTTACTCGTATGTGATACATTGTATATGTAGAAAATTCTAAATGGCCTACAAAGAAATTACTAATAAGTAAATTTAGCGACAATAAGGGTTAATACAAAATAATGAGTTATAGTTCCATTAAATTTTAACAAACAATTGGGAATTAATTAAAAATCAATGCCTTTTAACTACATTTAGTGGAAAATGTACAAGATTTCTACATTGTAAGTTACTAAACATTACTTAGAACAGATATATCGGCTTCATTAATCTAAAAGACACAATACTGCCCAAATTGCTTTATAGAATCCATGCAATCACAAATAAATCTAAACAGACTTGCAAAGAATCTAGAATAGCAAGATAATTTTGAGAGAAAAAAAAAATACTTAGAGGACTCACACCATCTGATTTCTTTTTTTCTCCTTTCTCTTTCTCAATAGTTTTATTAGCTATATTTCACATATCACAGCATTCGTACTTTTAAAGTGTACAATTTAGTGGTTTCTAATATATGTAGGGAGTTGTGCAACCATCACCATATAATTTTAGAATATTTTCATCACCCAAAAGAGAAAGTCTATACCTATTAGCAATTACTCCTCATATTCTTCTGATACAGTTTGGATGTCCCCTCCACATCTCATATTGTAATCCCCAGTTTGGGAGGTGGGACATGGCTGGAGGTATTTGGGTCAAGGGGGTGGATTCCTCCTGGCAATATGCTGTCCTCACTGGGGTGAGTTCTCACAAGATCTAATTGTTTCAAGTGTGTGGCACCTCCCCTACTCTCTCTTGCTCCTGCACCATGTAACATGCCTGCTCCTACTTCACCTTCTGCCATGAAGAAAAGCTCCCTGAGGCCTACCCAGGAGCAGAGCAGATGCCTGCGCCATGCTTGCATAGCCTGAGAACCATGAGCCAATTAAACCTGTTTTCTTCATTAATTACCCAGCCTCAGGTGTTTCGTTATAGCAATTCAAGACTGGCCTATTACACCTCCTTTACCCTTCAGTCCCTAGCAATTTACTTTCCATCTCTATCAACCTGACTATTCTGGAAATTTTATATCAATAGAGTTATACTGCATGATTTTTGTAACTAGCTTCTTTCACTTAGCATAATGTTTTCAAGGTTTATCCATGTTATAGCATGTATCAGTACTTCATTCTTTTTTATTGCCAAACAGTATTCCACTATGTGAATGTGCCAGATTTTGTTTACCCATCTGTGAATCCATGGACATCTGGATTGTTTCTACATTTTCATTATTATAAAAAATGTCACTATGAACATTCATGTGCACATATATGTTTTCATTTCTCTGGGGTATATACCTAAGAGTAGAATTGCTGTGTTATATGGTAATTTCATGTTTAATATTTTGGAGAACTGCCAAACTGTTTTCCAAAGCAACTATACCATTTTACATACCCACGAGCGATGTATGGGGTTTCTATTTCACTACATAGTTGTCAACTTGTTATTATCTTTTTCATTATAGCCATCCTAGTGGATGTGAAGTTTTATCTGATTGTTGTTCCGCTTTTTACTTCCTTGACAAATAATGATTTTTATTTTTATTTATTTATTTATTTATTATTACATTTTAGGTTTTGGGGTACATGTGCAGAACATGCAAGACAGTTGCATAGTTACACACATGGCAGTGTGTTTTGCTGCCTTCCTCCCCTTCACCCACATTTGGCATTTCTCCTCAAGCTATACCTCCCCAGCTCCCCACCATCACTGTCCCTCCCCTATTCCCCCCGATAGACCCCAGTGGGTAGTACTCCCTTCCCTGTGTCCATGTGTTCTCATTGTTCATCACCCACCTATGAGTGAGAATATGCAGTATTTCATTTTCTGTTCTTGTGTCAGTTTGCTGAGAATGATGTTTTCCAGATTCATCCATGTCCCTACAAAGGACACAAACTCATCATTTTTGATTGCTGCATAATATTCCATGGTGTATATGTGCCACATTTTCCCAATGCAGTCTATCATTGATGGGCATTTGGGTTGGTTTCAGGTCTTTGCTATTGTAAACAGTGCTGCCATGAACATTCATGTGCATGTGTCCTTATAGTAGAATAATTTGTAGTCCTTTGGATATATACCCAGTAATGGGATTGCTGGGTCAAATGGGATTTCTATTTCTAAGGCCTTGAGGAATCGCCACACTGTCTTCCACAATGGTTGAACTAATTTACACTCCCACCAACAGTGTAAAAGTGTTCCTTTTTCTCCACATCCTCTCCAGCATCTGTTGTCTCCAGATTTTTTAATGATCGCCATTCTAACTGGCGTGAGATGGTATCTCAATGTAGTTTTGATTTGCATCTCTCTGATGACCAGTGACGATGAGCATTTTTTCATGTTTGTTGGCCTCATGTATGTCTTCCTTTGTAAAGTGTCTGTTCATATCCTTTGTCCATTTTTGAATGGGCTTGTTTGTTTTTTTCTTGTAAATCTGTTTGAGTTCTTTGTAAATTCTGGATATCAGCCCTTTGTCAGATAGGTAAACTGCAAAAAATTTTTCCCATTCTGTTGGTTGCTGATTCACTCTAGTGACTGTTTCTTTGCTGTGCATAAGCTGTGGAGTTTGATTAGGTCCCATTTGTCTATTTTGGCTTTTGTTGCCAATGCTTTTGATGTTTTGGTCATGAAGTCCTTGCCTACTCCTATGTCCTGAATGGTTTTGCCTAGATTTTCTTCTAGGGTTTTTATGGTACCAGGTCTTATGTTTCAGTCTTTAATCCATCTGGAGTTAATTTTAGTGTAAGGTGTCAGGAAGGGGTCCAGTTTCTGCTTTCTGCACATGGCTAGCCAGTTTTCCCAACACCATTTATTAAACAGGGAGTCCTTTCCCCATTGCTTGTTTTTGTTAGGTTTATCAAAGATTTTATGGTTGTAGATATGTTGTGTTGCCTCCGATGCCTCTGTTCTGTTCCACTGGTCTATATCTCTGTTTTGGTACCAGGATCGTGCTGTTTTGATAACTGCAGCCTTGTAGTATAGTTTGAAGTCTGGTAGTGTGATGCCTCCCACTGTGTTCTTTTTGCTTAGAATTGACTTGGCTATGCGGGCTCTTTTTTGGTTCCATATGAAGTTCTAGGTGGTTTTTTCCAGTTCTGTGAAGAAAGTCAATGGTAGCTTGATGGGGATAGCGTTGAATCTGTAAATTACTTTGGGCAGCATAGCCATTTTCATGATATTGATTCTTCCTAACCATGAACATGGAATGTTTCTCCATCTGTTTGTGTCCTCTCTTATTTCATTAAGCAGTGGTTTGTAGATTTCCTTGAAGAGGTTCCTTACATTTCTTATAAGTTGTATTCCTAGGTATTTTATTCTCTTTGTAGTAATTGTGAATGGTGGTTTGTTCTTGATTTGGCTCTCTTTAAGTCTGTTATTGGTGTATAGGAATGCTTGATTTTTAGTACTTTTTCATGTGCTTATTGGTTATTTGTACATCTTCTCTGGAGAAATACCTTTGGATCTTATCTTTGTCCATTTTCCAATTGAATTATTTGCCATTTTATTGTTGAACTGCAAGAATTCATATATGTTCTAGATGCAAGTCCAGATGTATATACCAGATATATAATTCAGAATATTTTCACCTACTCTATGGATTATCTTTCATTTTCTTGATGGTGACTTTTGAAGCACAAAAAATATTTTACTTCCTATGAAGTCCAAGGCATATACTATTTTTCTTTTGTAATTGTGCTTTTGGTATTCTTTCTAAGAAACCACTGCCTAACCTACAGTTGCAAAGATTTGCTCCTGTTTTCCTCTAAGAGGTTTATTGTCTTGTGTCTTAAATTTAGGCCCGTGCTCCATTTTAACTGTTGCATATGGGTCCAACTTCATTTTTTGCATATCAATATCCAGTTGCGCTAGCACCATTTATTGAAAAGACCATTCTTTCATTGAATTGCCTTAGCATCTTTGTAAAAAATAAATTGGCCACAAATTTAGGGATTTATTTCTGTGCTCTTGATTTAAATTTATTGACCTACATATCTATTCAATTCCAGTGCCACACTGTCTTGATTACTGCAGTTTTGTATTAAGTTATTGAATTGAGAAATCTGAGTCTTCCAACTTGGTTACTCTTTCTCAAGATTGTTGTTTATATTTCCACAAATTTTAGGATCAGCTTGTCAGTTTCTAAAAAGACAGGCTTCTGGGATTTTGATAGAGATTGCGTTGTATCTGTAGATTAATTTGGGGAGTATTGTCACCTTGACAACATTACATCTTCTGATCCATGAACATATATATTCCATATATTCACATCTTCTTTAACTTCTCCGTTAAAAGTACCCTTAAGTATTCTATTCTTTTTGATGCTATTATAAATTGAGTTATTTTCTTAATTTCATTTCTGGATTGTTCATTGCTAGCCTATAGAAATACAATTGATTTTTATTTATTGATTTATCTTGCTGAAAATGTTATTTCTAATAAATTTTTGGTAGATTCTGTAAGATTTTCTATATATGAAGGCACATTATCTGCAAAAAGGGATAGCTTACTTCTTCCTCTCCAATTTACGTGACTTTTATTATTTTCCTTGCCTACTTGTCTTGGCTAGAACCTCAACATGATGTTGAATAGACATGGAAAAACATTCTTGTTTTGTTCCTAATTTTAGGTAGAAAGCATTCAATCTTTCAACACTACATATGATGTTAACTTAGTAACTGAGACAGTTACTAAGTGATTAATGTGTGGGTAATCTAGACAAGAGGAAGATTCCATTAAGGATGGGATGGAGCAGGATGGCTTCAGATTTTATCACATTACTCAGGATGGTACACAATTTAAAACTCATAAGTTGTTTCTGAAATTTTCCACTTAATATTTTCAAAACAAGATTGAATGCAGGTAACTGAAACCACAGAAAGCAAAGCATGGGATAAAGGATAAAGAGAAATTGCTGTATTTCACAGTACGTATCATCTATTTTATTTCTTTGGCAAGCAATCAGGTACACTTTTGTATCTTCTCTTGTAAAGTTGCTTTTTGATTTGTTTGGTGCCTTTTCTCAAATGGTGTCTCTCATTCAGAGCTCTGCCCAGGTCAACAGAGATTCCTAAAATGCTAGAAAGAACATGGTTTTCATTAAGTGGCTATGTGGCCTTGGACAACCCATCAACCTCTCTGAGCATTAGGGCCCTTATCTCTAAAACAAAATTAGTAACACCCATTTTAGGGGCTATGACAGTTAAATGAGGAAGCAATTAAGCAGTATGTCATCTAAAGCATTGCACACTGATGTCTCCTCCACATCAAGACTAGTTATAAGGTCAGGATTAACTGTTGGCAACTGGCAGAATCACTGTGTTTTTCTTCTACCTTTGCTTTCTGGTATACAAAAGAGATGTAACAAGTACAAAGGATGAAACAACAGAATTCTCCTCCATATGAGCAGTTTGTCTCCAACACCTAATGTTTCCTTTCTTCCTACCTACACTCATCGCAGAAAACATGCGATTTAAAAGAAGATTCTTAAAGGTTTCCTTTCAAGCAAGATAAGTCCCTTGTGGTAGGTCATTTCTCTCAACTGGGAGAGTTTCTTAAAGCACAGGTAGGTAGTTTCCTCCCAGGGGACATCTGCTGGCCATTTAGGTGGGACACATTCCACAGAAGGTGGGGGTGAGGTGCCAGGCTGAGCAGAGCAGTAATCTCTGCTCCTTGACTCTATGCCAGAGGACAGGGGCCACTGTCCCCTTCTCGTTCTCAAGGGAGGAAATAGAAACTGGTCCCTCTGGCCACCTCTCCCTGGGGTTGAACAAGAGCTTTCCAGATCTCTGCCAGATGGTGGGTCTCAGTGGCCTCTGCCACATCATCCCCCCACCTGAAGTCTCCTTAATGCTCTCAGTTATTACTTAAACAAGAAAATCTTCCGTGGGCATGGCCTGCCATTCCAGCCCTGACACTCTGCAAACACCACTTTATCCTCCTGCTGGTGGCCAGCAAACAAGCACCCTCCCTAGAGGCTGGGGCTGAATCAAGACTCTGAGCCCTAGGAAACCATCCCAGCACCCTGGCTGGTGTTGGTAACACACTTTGGGGAACAAGTCTTTTGCTGAAAGTCAGAGGCCTGAGTTCGAATCCCCAAGTGCACCTGGTACGGAACCTCCACATCCTGCCTTCTTCATGGAGATGCGCCAGGTTCTGCCTAGATGATCACAAAGAGCTACAGGCAGAAGATGTCGGGAATTTGTACCAACAATGCTATCCTCTACCCACTGTGTGCCTGCAAATTTCTTCTTTCCCCTCTCTTCTTCCCCCCAGAAGTTGCTGCCAGCATATACTGCAGAGTGTGAAGGGCAGAGCACACCCTCCCCATGCCTGCAAACCAAACAAGAAAGGGCCTCGGGCTGGCTCTAGTGGGTGAGAGTGAGTCCTACTATGCATTTGTGTCTCTGGATCCTTGCACAGACAACAGTAAGTGGATTCTGGGGCATCTACCATTTTTGAAGAACTACCCTTTTCTCTCACCCACCAGTATGACTAACTGAAAGCTGATTTAATTTCTATGTTTAAACAAGCAAACAAATAGAACAAAAATTCTCAGGGAATATTGAGAGTATTTTATCAACACAAAAACCAACATGCATGTGGGCCTTTTAAGCACTGATTTGATTCAGCCTAGGCCAACTGAGCTCATGATACCTGCCAGGCCCTGAAGATGGAAAGAGGAATAAATACTGTCCTTTCCATCAGGAGCTCTCAGTCAAGGCAGTTTCTCTACCCAGGCACTCTTCCCATTTTGGGCCAGATTACTCTTTGTTGTGAGTAGCTAAACCAGGCACTTACTGGTGGTTAACAGCATCCCTGGCCTCTCCACCATAGCTGCCAGTCAGTAGTAACCTCCCCAAGTCTGGACAACCAAAATGTCACCTAATGTCTCTGGAGGGCAAAAATCACCATGGTTTAGAACCATAGGTCTAGGAGGAGGATATTAAGTAAATAGCCACAAGATGGACCACCCTGACTGAGGCCTGGCACTCAAGACCCAGCACATGCCGGCTCTAGAGGGGATGCAGACAAAGGAGCTTGTTCTCTAGAGGAGAAACCCACGGCTGCTGACGTGAGTGTATACATGTGGCTCTCTTTCTACTCCAAGCATCCACATACCATCTTCACCCACCATGGGCTCTAATGACAGTGGAGATTGCCTTATACAACAGAGTACAGCTCTTGGACAAGCAGTTACATCTGCCTCATGAAAGACCAGAGATAGAACTGGAAACATACAAGCAATTGATGGGGCACCTCAGCATTTGAGAAAACAGCACCTTGACATTTGAGAAAACAGCAGAAGCAGGAAGGTCACTCTCACCTTCCCCTTCCCATCTTCCCCTGATACAAGCCATAAAACTCATTTGAGGGGTAGCCTCCATATACCCAGAGAAATACTTATCTCTGAAGACACAGGACCACAGAGAAGAATCTGAACAAACAGGCTAAATTTGTTAAGTCCTCAATCTCCCGCCCAGTTTATCACAATTAGATCATACCTGCTTTGTCCAATTATCCATCTCCACAACTGTCCACTTCTCCATCAAACTAACATTAAAAACATACAGGTTCCTCTGTTACTTTGGGTCTTTAGTTCCTTGTGAGAGCCCCTATGTTATGTAAAACTTGTATTAAATAAATCTGCATGCTTTCTCTAGTTAATCTGACTTTTCTATGGGGACTCAGCCATGTACCCAGCAACGGGCCAGGAAAATATATTTCTTTCCCTTCCATGACCTTGAGCCTCTCTGGAGCAGTTTCTTTCACAAGTCTCCAGATATGTCCCACATAAGCACGTTTCTTCCCACAGTCTCATTCCAAGGGCTGAGAACTCTCCTGCCCTCCTCCTGCTGTAATCTACATGGCTCCCCTGCAGTTTTCTAGATCTCAGGGATTGCCTACAATTGCCCAATTCGCATGTATATTGAAACCATGCATACTCTTGTTATGAGCATTTTTAGGAGGAAAACTTGTTTTGAAATTAGGTGACTCTGGGTTGTTTGTAGGCAGCTGAGCAGACATCCCCAAGCCCAAAGCCTATGACCAGAGAGTGGCACTTTGGGAGGCTGTGAGCACAGTTTTTGTAAGGACAGGAAGGACCCTGCTTATCACCCCTCTGCTAGGGCTGGATCTTACTTTAACATCTCAATGCATTTTGATGCATGCAAAGGGGAAAAGGTTGATACCAACACAAAAAGCAAACATTTTTCATCAGTGTGATACAGTTGAGACCAAGGTAGAAATCATGAAGCAAGACAAAAATGGGGATTTTTGCCACTGTCAGACATCCTAAGACACACAGAGAGAGGCCCAGCATGGAGTGGGTGGCTAGGGCTTCACAGACAAACTCTTGCTGGGTTTCTCTCTGCTGGGACTCATCTCTCATGCAGGGTGTTCCTGTTTTCGGGGACATGCTAAGAGTGTCTCACTCTTTTTTTTTTATTTTTTTATTTTTTTTATTTTTAATTTTTTATTGGATTATAGGTTTTGGGGTACATGAGAAGAGCATGCAAGACAGTTGCGTAGGTACACACATGGCAGTGTGCTTTGCTTTTCTTCTCCCCTTCACCCACATTTGGCATTTCTCCCCAGGCTATCCCTCCCCACCTCCCCCTCCCACTGGCCCTCCCCTTTTCCCCCCAATAGACCCCAGTGTTTAGTACTCCCCTTTCTGTGTCCATGTGTTCTCATTTTTCATCACCCACCTATGAGTGAGAATATCCGGTGTTTCATTTTCTGTTCTTGTGTCAGTTTGCTGAGGATGATGTTCTCCAGATTCATCCATGTCTCTACAAACGACACGAACTCATCATTTCTAGTGAGAACATTACCCAGATAGTGCTTCTGTGTCATGACCTAGAATATCCCTTTAAAAAAAAAAAAGAAATGTGCTATCGACCACCAAGTTCTCACAAGACCTCATTCCTCTAAATAGCAATGTGCTGTTGCCAATCAAGCAACAGAACAATTCCATCTGTGACACTGACATCACAGGGAAGCAGCCACCAAAAAAAAGCTCAAAACCTGAGACTTCAGCAAACCAAGAGCTACAAACTGGTAAGGATAATTTTTAAAAGAAACAAAAAGGTAAACATTTACCGGTGGCTATAGCGAATGGCTATCGTCAACCCAAGCTGTAATTAAAAAGAGAGAAAAACAAATTAAGTAATATCAAGAATATGCAGAATTCACAAGAAAATAAACTTAACACAATTATGTTTTAAAGAATTCCGAAAATTTCCTACAGTTAATGCTTCAAAATTAACATATGTTAATGACATATTTAGTTTCAACTTAGTTCCTAAAGAAAATTTGTATTTTTTTTTTGAGACGGAGTTTCGCTCTTGTTACCCAGGCTGGAGTGCAATGGCGCGAGCTCGGCTCACCGCAACCTCTGCCTCCTGGGTTCAGGCAATTCTCCTGCCTCAGCCTGCTGAGTAGCTGGGATTACAGGCACACGCCACCGTGCCAAGCTAATTTTTTGTATTTTTAGTAGAGACAGGGTTTCACCATGTTGACCAGGATGGTCTCGATCTCTTGACCTCGTGATCCACCCACCTCGGCTTCCCAAAGTGCTGGGATTACAGGCTTGAGCCACTGCACCCAGCTGAAAATTTGTATTTTTATAGAGACTTAAAGAGGCATAAAATATTTACTTGTGGATTAGACAGGAGGTGTCTCTCAATAGAAATGCCTTCCAAAATATAGGTCTTCTTGCTCCAAGACACAGTCACAAAAAGATGGAATTGGAGCATGTGGCGATTCCAAGGGTGGCATTAGGGGAACACAGCCACACATGGCAGGGTCCTGGGAGCTGGTTCCTTCTCTATCTCCTACCTTAGAAGCACTAAGTGGAGCCCAGGCCACCTCAACCAGAGTCTCCCTATGGGATCATTACAGCCTTCACACTGATCCTGTAAGCTCAAGGCCAGCAAGCCTCAGCTCTGAGGTCAGCAAATAAATTGAGCCTGAAATTCACATGTGACATCAAGATATGGTGCACTCAGCTGTTGGGCACAGCAACAAGTGGAAGTTGAGGTGAGCTGTGATTTCCTCTTTACTCTGCAGGGGGGATGCGGAAACCTCTCAAGCATAAGTGGGGGTCAAATCACATGACATGGGCCCTGCATAGTTCACAGAAAGGATAGTAAGAGTCAGGCCAGCCAGTCAAGTTCAGTTGCATCAGCAAGTTATTGAAACTGTTGGAGCCTCAATTTTCCCAACTGTAAAATGGGCAGAATAATTACTTTCTCACAGAATTAATGTAAGGATGAAACAATTTTTGTATATTTATGTGTTTGTATTTTGGTGTGTGTATGTGTATGACTACTGTGTGACAGATAGGAAAAACTCTGTAAATAATAACTACCACTAGTAACACTATATTCAGGCAATATTCCATTTATCAAAATGTTAGTACATTCCAGAATTTAATTTTTCAATTAGTTTTGGAAACTTTGAAAATATTTTGTTATGCAACAAGCGATGAATGGTCAAACATGCCTGTGTAAGTCTCATTAGCCCACTCATACCTACAGCAAGACTAGTTTAAGAAGCTCACAATAGTTAAGAACCTAAGCATCATCCGAATGTCATTTCTGTAGCTGAAGTCTGAGTTCCACCTTAAAATCCCCAAACATCATTTATGGTTCCCTTGATGCTGATCTGAAGAGGATCAGGGTGGGGATATCACATTCATGGTGCTGTCCCAGGTGGTGCAGGGTGACAAGAGGGTCCCCTGGCAGTGAAAGGTGAATGGGGAGGGAGAGCTAAGAGAAGAGAAATGGTTGAAATAAGAAAGTCCAACACCCCTGTCCAGCTTGACATCCTGCAGAACCCCCAGATACTGTTTGAATAGCTGGGCTCCAGAAAAATTCAGCCATGCGTATCACTGCAGGCATCCAAAGTACGAGACCAACAAGGACGAGCCATCAGCAATCAGAGGCTCATGTTTGCAAAAAGAACAGCTACAAGTGAAGGCATGAAATATATGAAATCAGGGTGATTCACCTGAATTTTTCAATTCTCTCTCTCAACTAGGAGTAACTTTTCTTTGAAACTTAAGCAAACAGAAGAGGAAGATGCCTCAGAGACAATCAAGAATTTGAAGAACAAGGAAGAAATTACTTTGGGAAAGAAATAAAAGCAGAAACTGTAGCCAGAAGGTCAGGATGAGCAATTGACAGATTTTACATGCCGGATAACTTTCCGTTTCCTGGGATTAAAACGTTCTGGCTTACAGTGAGGCTAATTATAAGATAATTTTACTGACTGAATATTTTGATAAGCTTTGGAGTAGAGTTTAATTGGTGGCTTCTCCACAGTTGAAAGATAAGCCCTTGCTGGAGTAGGAAGAAGAAATGGGGTGGGAAGGACAAGAAGAAAAAAACACACAGAAAAAGTTGCTCATGACAGCTGTGCTGGTTAAAGGGGCTGCAAGATGAATCTTTCACAAAGATGAATTTCAATGAAGCATTTTTATGAGTCTTTTCCTGGCTTCTGAATAGAATGTTTTATTGTTGTTCTTAAAAGGACAGCTTGTGTAGGAAGAAAGTGTGAATCAAAGAAACTCCAGTGGACAGGAATGGCTCAAACCAAATGACAGAGCAGCCAGGGCTCCCGGCCGGCCTCTGCATGAACAGGCCCTGCAAGGGCACAGGACAGCTGGGGAAGGGGAAAAACCCCCAGGCTACATGGGAACCCACTTCCAGGATGGATGGGAACAGGGTATTTCACAGACATTTTGGAAACATAACTGAAATATCACATAGAATGCACTGGGTCCAATGAGGAAGGCCTGAAGAGGCTGGAACAGTGTAGAAAAGTTCTTGTGGGTCTTCCCTTGAAACCCCAGGTTGCAACAGACCAATGAGGCAAATGAACCGTGTAAGAAGCTTCCATATGCCTGCTCTTCCTCATTCCTACAGAGAAAGCAGGGGAGGTAGGAGAATCTCTAGGCTTTTTGTGCCATAGCAAATGTCAGGTAAAGGCAACTGTGTGATCTCCTGAGAGATGAGATGCTTTTCCTCCTCTACCTTAGGAAGCTCCACCATCTGGTCAGTCCCCTCTAAGGCCCCTCACCTGCTCTCACGTATCTGCAACTCAAAAACTCTTTAAGCCTCACCACTGCCTCTGTGTGTGCAAACACTTGCACCCACACATGAACATTCACACGTGTGCACACATGCAGGCACATACACGTATACTTGTCCACATTCAGACATGCACATGCACACATGCAGTCTTTTAGTGCTTGTGTGCATGTATATTCACATGTGCATACATGTATGCATATGCGCACACACGTGTGTATCACAACATATGCACACATGCACACTCATACATATGGCTCATCCATGCGCACGGATACACTTTGGCATTCAGAGAGGCTCATGGAGCCCCTCAGACAAAAGGAGGCCTCAGACAATTGACCCCTTTGTTGCTTATCTCAGCAGGGACCCAGAAGAGAAGAGGGGGAGGCCCATGGGTTGGCCCCTGACCCTGGCCCAGCTGGGCTGAGGTCCTGGGACATGGAGGTCAGTGAAATTTTGTGCTGTCCTCCCTGGGGAATGTCCCCCCAGGGCATACTGTAAGTAATGCCAGAACACACTTAACAAACTCCATTCTGAGTACTTCACTTTAGATTTACACAATTTGTTAGTATCAAAATTAAATCACATTTTAATGGCAAGGAAAGAGTAATTCAACATTTCAAAACTTCTCCTGCTGCTTCAGCCTGAAAATGCTCCTTTTTTGGAACAGCTGACTGAGGCAGCTGTTTTGCACCAAGTCAGAGGGGTTTCCATATGACCCAGGGAGCTCAGACAACAGGCAGACCTTCCTGCATTAAAGGGTAATCTGAGAATAATTTGCCATAAAACACCCAGAAGTACACCAGCTGTAGCCAGATATGCCCTATAAAGCACCACGTGGACTTCACGGGTCTTGTAAAATAATAATGATTTTTAAAAACACATTTTTAAAAACACACTGTAATCTTTTTAAAAGAAAGGAATGGTTTATTCTATCTTAGAAGGCAGCAGAGAGATTCCCTTACATGTTCACGATTGCTACTAAGCACCACTTCCCAAATGCCCACTTGACCAAAGGTCCCCGTGTCCCTACGTCACTGGGAATCTGATCTTTTGCAGGTACCCTGGGCCTCCTGTTGAAGATGTGCTCTCTCACACAGGGCTGCCAGGAGCAGGTAAAGAGGAGAGACCAGGAAGCACCAGCCCCAGTCTCCCAGGTCCAAGTCCAAGTCCAGAACTTTCTAGGCCAGGTACAGCGGCACACCCCAGGGCCCCTGTCCCATGCTGGAGGGGCCATGACCTAGGAGCCAGGTCTTTTCACAGAAGCAGCCATCAACCCACCAGCACCCTGATCCCAATTCTTCAAGGAAAGCTGGAAAATTGAGTTTTTATTATGAAAATTTCTATGTTTTGAACTAATTTGGATGTTTTTCAAATATGACTCAAGCCAAGCAAAACAGTCAACAGGATTTGACCTGCCTGCAACCTGCCTTGAACCCTGCCTGCTGCCAACCCTCTATGTGGGTCTGCAGATCTGAATCTATGTGTAGGCGACAGATCTGAATCTATGCATAGGTGACAAGTCTGGAAAGAGCCTGCCTACTTCTTCTAAGGCTTTCCTCCCTTTCCCAAACTTGTGGAAAGCTTTTTCTTTATTTTTCCTTTTTTCATGTCAAAGGCCTAGAGAATTTTACATCACAAAATAAACACTACAAGAAATTGGTATTTGTTTCTCTTCTGTATAGTTTTACTGTTCCTATCCCCTTTTCACAGAAAATATGGAAAAAGGAACATGAAGGGAAGAAGAGGCATGACAAGGACAGAATACCATGCAAACAGGGCCACAGTGCACACAGAATACCACTCAAACAGGGCCACAGAATGCACAGAAATTACTCAAACAGGGCCATAGCGCCCACAGACTACCACTCAAACATAGCCATGGCATATATAGAATACCACTCAGACAGTGGCAAGGCACACACAGAATAGCACTCAAACAGGGCAAAAGCACCCACAGAATGCCACTCAAACATGCACAGAATACCAAACAGGGCCATGGCACCCACAGAACATCATTCAAACAGGGTCAAGGCACGCACAG